TCGGTATGCGTCGGTTTTCTGTACACTGTCGTTCGCAGTTCGTTGTTGTCGCGGCTTACCAAACAGTCTAGAAAAGGAAGTTTTCCATTTTCTTCGAACTCTTTAGTAAACTGGATATCGGCGTTCTGTTCGTTTAGGTGGTCGTGGAAATCGTCAATTTCGTCTTTGTGAACGGCCGTAAAGGTGTCGTCAGTCAACGTAGCGTAACCAAAGCGGTATCGTTTGTCGGCAAGTTGCAAGGGCGCGTATCTCCACGTGTTGCATTACAATTTCTGCGACAACAACAGAAACAGGCGACCCCATGGCTGTTCCATGCAACTGTTTGTAGTATTTACCGTTACACCAGTATTCCACTTCCATTGGCATTACAGTGTACCGAGACCGCTATACAACAATCTACTGTTAAACTACCGTTACCGACGGAAGACATCATGAACTTACTAAACTTTTGCCTTACAACGACTTACTTTCAGTGTAACGGTAAACATATACATTGACAATGTTATGACGAAATTCATGATCAATAACAGGACAGACGCATGAAAAACTGACGTCAATTTGTTAATTTGAGTTTTGAAGGGGCGCGTGTCGGCGCGTTCAGAGTCCAAGTATATCTTTTGTTTTTCGCCGAGAGGCACTGGGACCTACTGTATTTGGGTATCCATGAAGTATACACCAAAGATGGCGAGCTTAGTAACCAAGCGCCCTGGTCATACGAAGAGCTTTTCGACCAATCAGAATCTACTACGCATGAGAGGTTTCCTTCAGCGAACAACAGCGAACAGGGAAGTCGTTTGTTATTGTCGAGTAAAGCCTGCTTCGAAATTACACACTTATGGACGGAGAAAGATTACTTCTGAGTCTTCTGTGTCTTTTGAGTCTGCCTGTAGTTGTCTCTGGTGGTTGTCCAACGTCACCTTTCACAGATTCGAATGGATATATCGAATCTCCAGGCTTCAACACAGCTCAATCTTATGACGATAACGTGTTATGTATGTACAGAATAGTAGTGCCCGCTAATCGAAGGGTAATTCTTGAGTTCAAAAAGCTCTCTATCTTGGGAACTATGCCGAACTGTGAGGGAGATTCTTTGGAAATACTTGTCGGGTAAGTGTTTAGCTCAGTTTACAGGCGAAAGTAAGACAACTTTTAGCTATACATGTAATTAAGGCGATGGCCGTCGCGTATGTTTTGTGTTCTATGTAAAATCGAGACGAGACTATGGTTCTGAATTAAAGATAAGACCAATATTGAGTCGTATATTGCTCCCATTCTCACACGCATGTTTGAGGTTTTATTTTCGATTTGAAACTACAAGTTAGTACAAGTTTTGTGTAGTCGAGACTTGAAAGCTGCTGTATTGAAAAACTTATCTACTGGAATCAAGCTGAATATGAAGCTTATGTACACTGCTGAAATATTATTTTTGTCGTCATTTTAACACCAAGTGGAGATATGTAAATTATCACACCTCAGGTTTAACGCTTTTGTGCGATCTTATAACAGAATAGTAAGAGATATTTTGGGGGGTGAGATCATGCATGTTGTATTAATGATTAATGATGAAAGAAAACTTCATATATTTTCCGTGATGACTGGAGCACATTGGCTTGATTTGTACTTAGACGGATCACACGTCCAGACATACTATACAGTACATCAAGACGAATCGTCTATCTAGAATAAATCCTATCTAGCTGGGATGAACCTGGGCAAGGAATGGCAAAACGTCTGACAATTGATCTGTGTATAAATATATGCAAACAGCCAGATCATTCGTCTAGACGAATTATCGACCAAAGGTCCTTTGTCAAGACAAACTTCAGAGAAAAACTCTTTAAGTGTGAGAGAAGTTTGTCTGTCAAGATGAAGTATTGTGAAAACCCCCTGGGGGACTCCCTTATAAAAAGGATGTGCATGTTCACGGTAGCTTATAGGGGTTTAAAAGCGGTTTTGGTATCCCTTAGGGTGCTAAGCCTCAAAAGGTCCACAGTGGGAACTTTTGTGGTATCTTTTGGGGTATTGAACCGAAAAAAATAAGCCTTCAAAACAGGATCTTGGTACTTCTTAGAGGTTCTTTTCAAAATTTCTGACAATCACCCTGATCCTTTTTATATTGGAGTCCTCCCCCCCCCCCTTTCCCCATGGAAAACCCTTTAGTTTGACAGAAGTATGTCTATCAAGACAAACTACTGCAATAGCTCATCTGAATGGATGATCTGTTAGCCCATATTTATACACAGACAAATTATCCGAAGACGAAGTGCCATTCTTTGCCCAAGTTCATCCGGATGCCATATGACATTTCCACCTCAAGAAGGACAGATTGTTTCAATTTCCGGTATCACAAGACAATGTAGATTGTAGCTCAAATTGACTTATGTTAATTGACTATTGAGCAAATTCAATGGTCAATATCTAAGCTTAACTAGAGTAGGCTCATATTGCAAGTACGAAGCTCGAGTAAAGGCTCTTCTTGGAGCATTTAGTTTTCTTTTGAAATAGGTGCTCCCAGGAATTGAAGCTGTGCTCCTAGCATTTTTAGCTGAGCGCCTAAAATTTTGGCAGTGCACTTAAAAATTTACACCTGGTCGCACAAGTGCTCCTAAAGCCAAAAATCAACTTTGAGCCCTGCCTGAGATTGCTGTAAATTTACGCATCCATACTCCCAGGTCCCACTTGTTTTTACTTTTTTTATCATCTTAGCATGGAGAGGTGAAAAGGATGTGAAAATGTTAGTGTGGGCAAAAATACAGTGTACTTTACTTTGTTTTCTTTGAGATGAAAACAGAGACTTTTGAAAATGTACTATTGTAGCTGGGGCCTTACATATATATATATACAAGGAGCTAATAGTAATAAAGTAAACCTGTAGAATCCTGTGATGTCACAACTGAAACAAGATCTTAATCACTGTCCATTCAGCTTATAGTGGCGATTCCACTTAAAGGGAAAGTTGAGTGTACATTAAAGCTGTCTTGTGTTTCAGATGCAACAACGCATCCATCGGTAAATTCTGTTCTTGTTCGGATTTGACAATGCCGAACAAAATCTACTCCCTCGACAACTGTATGACCCTAATTTTCAAGTCTGATGAGTCAAAGAGAGCTGAAGGCTTTGAAGCAGAGTACACCTCAATAGATAACAGCACAGAATTGGATCCTAATTCAAACTGCAGGTTTGTATCATGTTCCCAAGTGGTGGAGAGTGCATTTGTATTTGGAGTGCTCCTGACTACTAGTAGTAATCTATGCAGTTGCAGTAGTTGACTGTGTTTCTATCTCACAGTAGACCCTCTGAGAAAATTTAGCCAGAATTTTCAGTACCGATCAGAAGAAACCTAACATGGAACACTTCACAGAATGCATTCTGTTTCCGTTTCACATGCATACCCGTTCCCATTCTGTATCCGTTCCGTATCCATTCCGTTCCCGTTCCCTTTCCATTCCCATTCTGTATCCATTCTGTATCTGTTCTGTGCTGTTCTGTTCCCGTTCTGTTAGCGTTCCATCGGTAAACGTTCTTGGAACTTGTTCAGAAGAACCAGGTTTCAGAGACGTCATTTACAAGATGAGGGACGCTCATTTGCATTTTATGAAATGGGTTAAAACTGCCGCACTTATGCGAGAATACGAACAGTAAACTTAAATCTTCGATACAAAGCGACCAGTAGACTGTGTGATTGCCCAAGGAAAGGAAGAGGTAAACCAGCTTGCCGAGCACTTTTAACGCCATCGATGAAAAACTGCAAGCAAAAGACGAACTTTCGGTTCTTGTATTTACACAAACACTTTTAGTGAGATTTAACATTGAAGTATCACCAAAAACTGTTTGGCAAATGTGGAAGAAACTTGGCTGGAGGACGCAAGCAGTGCAAAGTACTGACAAAAAGCCTAAGCAAGCATTTTGTGATACTTTTACTGATGTTATTTTCACAGGCGAGTGCTCAGTTAAGATTGAATGTTATCCTCGCCGATCCTTCTGCAAAGTTGGTGAACAACACTGTAATAAAGGTCAACCAAAACATTTATGTTTTGTTTTGTTTCTCTTCATGAGGAAACCCTTCAATCCCAGTCTAACTCGACTCGTCAATCCATTTCCTTACGTGGACATAAGTTGACAATAACAAAATGGCTGTGATGAACACGAAATGGACAAGAAGATGCAGGGAAAATGTTTGCTTAGTGGGTGTAAAAAGAAATGAAAAAAGACATAAGATGATTTACTCTGTCATTTTCTCAAGATTGCCGGGCTGGACAAAAATTGGACGAACTTGTATTTAAAGTTACATCGTTTCTGAATCCTTGGTAAGCACTCTGATGGCATAACTTACTAGCATGTGTTCTGAAGAATGCATTCTCTTATGGTTTGCTTTCTGGTGAAAGCTTTTTTCCATTTTTGTGATTCGTAACCGTTCCGTATCCGTTCCATTTTCGTTCGGTATCTGTTCTGTATCCGTTCTGTACCCGTTCTGTACCCGTTCCATTCCTGTTCTGTTCGCGTTCTTGTATCCATTCTCTATCTGCTCTGTTCCTGTTCACAAACGTGTTCCCTGTTAGGTTTCTTCTGATGGGTGCTGTATCAAGTTTATTGTTTGGAATCCTTGTCAATCTTCCCCAATCTGAACTACATGTATCTTTGTCGCTGTTTTGTTCTTTGTTTTCTAGCTTAGTACCTTATTTATTATTGGTAAGCTGATTTTAGAGTGAAGAATAGTGTTTTCACCAGGCCTGTAAATTACTTGTGAATAAATTATAAGGGTGCAAAGACTCCTAATACTGTAGTCTGCACTTGGCATTTCTTCAAAATTGGCCCAAGAAACTTCACATTCCTGTTGGGAATGTGACAGACAGAATCCACCAGTGGGACTGTAAAGTAGATGCACTAAGTGCCAGGCTATTGGATATGACTTCCTAGTTGTACATATGCATGCTGATTGTAGTAACAAATACAGACTGAGAATTACATGAGCATGCATTTTACAAAGACAAACATTTGAATGGGAAGTTGTTTCATAATAGAGTTAAAGATTGTGTATAGTGTTACTTTGTAATTGTCCATGGTCCATGACTATGATAAGTGTCTGTTTGCGGCAATTGCCCACCCACACAGGGTGTCTGTTGGCAGCTAATAATAATTTATAGCTTGACCTTTCTATCAATTGTAGTAGTACCAAGCTCCTGGGATCGTCTAATGGAACATTCTTCACTCCCAACTGGCCATTGACGTATCCTCCAGATGCTGCTTGTTCGTGGACATTTAGTCCTCCAGAAGAAAAGATTGTTCGCCTGTTTTTCATGAGCTTTGAAATGGAGGGAAAACATGAATGTGACGCGAACAGGCCGTCCGTGACTGCAGATGAAATACGCATTAATGGTGGGTAAAACAAAAGAGAAGCATACTAGATGTTTGCCCTTATAAGCTGGTTACACTGTAGTTAGAAATTAGTAGCCCTGTTTCGAGTCCTGACGTACATGTAACCCTCTCCACCCAGGTTTCATGCACCTGGGCTGGGTTGTTCAAAAGCCAGTTATTGCTAACCCAAGATTAAAAGCTAACCAAAGTATTCATTTTGTTGTCTAAAGATGTGTCTCACTGCTTTATATGTTTTGTATGGTTTGAGATTATTAAAACTCAGAACTGAAGGTCAAACATCGTAAACCAACAACCTCACCAAAAAGTTACAAAAATGAAATCAAAATTCGTGCTGATCCAGATTTAGCTTGAGAAGGAGGAAGTTTTACATCAAACCCTTTAACTTTTGCATCTATTTTATTCGTGAGTATCAAAGTGGAACTGTTTAAAATCTTCTGAACTACAGTCCATGTACATTCACTAGTCCTATAACAAATTATTCAGTGATCTGTTAGCAGATTAGGGCATACATGTACAGTGTACCAAGATCTAACAAACTTTCATGAATGGCTGTTTCAATAGATTATAGTTCAGACATGGCTCCGGTGGTCAGGGGACTACAACAAAAGAAATCACATTGAGGTTGATGCATGAATAAACTATGATTCTTTTGTTTTTGCTGATGCTAATCCTTGGCGCCATGTTAGAATTTTTACTATATCAAAATTGACCCAATCTCTGCTGGTACTTGTGGTAAATGAGAGTTTTTAAGTGTCATGAACTAATAATTGTTAATCATTGCTAGGAGCTTCTTAATAATTTGCACAGAATGATCAAGGCAACTTTCTTTCTTCAAGGTACGAATTCAACAGGGGGTAAAGGTGACATTGTTCCAAGGATTTGTGCAAAGCCAGACACGCTCTATTACACTATCAAGCAAATGCGGGCAGTCACGGTCAGATTTTCATCAAATCGTAGAGATGAGTCTTCTGGAGCTATTGCTGGTTATGCTAGTTACAAAAAAGGTATGTTTTTCTTCACTGTTGAACATAATCTAGCCATTGAACAAATTTATCTCAAACCTTTCAGGGCCAGTGGACATAATTATTTAATAATTGTTGTTGATCGGAACTAACAGTTACAGTTGTAGAACTTCCACACTGAAAGCAGACAATACAGGGCCGTCAGCGCTTGAGTCGGTGTTGCCTTGATCTTCACACCTGCAACACTCTTGTTACTTTGTGACACTACTGTCTGGCATGTCACGTGCCAAACTTTAAGATAAACAGCCTTGAATTTCTGTTACATAGATACTTGAGTTTAGAAATCGCAGAAAATGTTTAGAAAATAATTTTTTGAAAATAATTGTTGTGAAATGATGAATTCTTTTCCCTACTTTTTCTATAGATACTTTCAACTCATCATCTCCTGGGTAAGACAAACATGTTATTTCATGATTGTTGTAAATATATTATTATATATGGGTCGATAGGGCTCGACACTTACTCTTATCCACTGTCCTTTGGAAAGTAAAGTTACTTCTTGGAAAGTGAAAAATTGAAAAAGAACCAAAATACTTATCTGGTCTGAAGTAAATTTTGGGCTATGCTGGAAAGTGCCTTTTATCTTAAAAAAGCTTCAGCGAAAGACATGTACACGTATAAAAAAATAATCAAAAACTTATGAAAAAAATAATCAGATCCAACAATGATTTTCTGTCTTCAAAAGGACGGGTTCACACCATTCTAGCATTTACCGATCCGTCATATTGGAGTATTGAGAGAGCTGCTGAGTTACCCACCTGAATCAACGATGAACTTGTACTACAACCAAAATACGCCATTTTTCCATCACTGAAGTGGGGGGAGGGTTGGTTGTAATTGCGTTTGACAAAGTGAAACACAAACCTAATTTTGACCTGTGGCTTTCCAGAGTTGGTCTCCTTGTGCATGGTTGTAGGCCAAAAAAACCACATTCCTGTAAGGACACCAAAATGGCCACCCCGCTTGATTTTTGCAGGGGCATGCCACGGCCAGTAAACTGGTACCGTTTAAT